TCTAAAATACATGGGAGTGAATTTTTGACCAATTAAACAATTCCGTAGTAAATAGCAAAATCGGCTATTTACAACATCAAATGATACCCAACAATAAAATTTACTCTGTTATTGAAAGCAATGATGAGTGAGTTTTGAATATGTATTGGTTATTGAGTTTACTATATTGTGGTTAAATTTTTTGATCACACATTGTCCTATAAACATCCTGTATTGCTTTCAAAGCATCAACAGCAGTTGGTCTTGGTTTTGTTTCCCACATCCATCTGCCTCTTTCCACAACATCAGCTGACAGGTCAAGAATCCATACAGCTGCATCTTTTATTAGCTTTCCCACACTCCAAATGTCAACTTCCCCTTTATGATCATCATTAAACACTTCAGGTGCATGGTTTGCACGTTCAAGATGTGATGCAGCACGAGTGGGCATACTGGAAGCATCATCCCAGTCAATTAACATCCATTGTGACCCATGCAATCGTACTATATTTGGCCACCTTATATCTCTATGAAAGATAGGCATCTCAGCTTCATGCATAACCTATATTAAAAAACATGGATGAGCTACTAACTATAGAAATATTTGTTGGTAGTTCCATAATACTTACACTTAGTGCCTCGAGGACACAGATAATAGCTTCCAGCAGCTCCTTCTGGGTATTTGGTCTAACACTCATTCCTTTGGGTGCAAGATATGCTACACATCCACGATCATTATCTGTATATGAAAGAATAAGATCATCAACATTTGGCACATGTTCGCTTCTGAGCATATTATAGATGTTCCGGAGTTTTTGGATGCACTGTTCACCATCTGGACCATGGTAAGTCTTTTTGATGCTTGTGCCAGTTATACAAATTGTTTTATTTTCTCTATAAGAAATATACACTATTAGACTAGAATATAAAGCTTGTTATAACAAATTCTTCAACACACCTCTCAATAGGGACGAACTCTGCAGTTTCGCGCCACCCTATTACATCCCGAATCAGCTCAATGATAGTGCATAAATTTATGAGTATTTGCAAATTACAGATACGTTCTTTCCTCAGACTCAAGTCAACAGTTCCAATGGTGATAATATCTGGCTTATGGCTTCCAAGTTGTGGCCGGCAAAGAGCAACATAGGTTAATGATGGTCCAATAGCATAGTAACCTGCAAAAGAAGAAGACTACATTTGTTAACCAATCAAATGACCAACAGAATAGAAACTAAAGACTTACCCAAGACATATGGAGCTGGATCATAAGTCCATTCAATTTTATCCACAAGCTCAGTCCACACCTCTTCCCTACTATGAGGAGCCTTTTCCTCCCCCCTAAATGGGCACACTTGGTTTAGAATGAAACCAAAGTCTGGACACATGTTATTAGTGCTCATGTGTTGGTTTGTATTTCGGACAGAACGACCACTTGAAAAGAAAGTCTCAAGAAATCTTCGAATATTGATGTCCCAAAATGTGACAAATGAATACTCAGTCCCATCAAGTGGAGGTGAGGAGGTCATAATTGCAGAGCCAAGCACACTAGTAATGAAAGAATAAGCACTCTCAGCATTGCTGACACGAAATAGAATCTCTAGGTCTTCAGCTGTGCATGGGTCTTTAAAATCAGGTATGAGGAAGGTATCAAACTCATCCCTGAGAAGGGGGATCTTTATATCATCTGCGAGAGATTGTTCAAGGAATGCAGCAAGTTCATCAGGATTCGGGAGCGATGGCTTAGATCTTTTCCTTAACCTATCAAGAACCTGTGCACTAGCATCAACTATAGTTTGTATGCAGGAAATAAGATTATAATTAGGTAATAATAAACTGTCATGGCTTATGCTAAAATCTGGCTGAAGCTGAAATCATGACCTTTCATTGGTTGATCAGATTTTATTCTCTAACCCCATTGGTTAGTTTCAGCTTCAGCCATCAGCTCCCACAATAACTAACAACCCACTCCTCTGTAACTTACTTTTTTCATAAGAACGCTTATTTGCTGAAGCAAATCAAAGCAGTTTGAAAGGGGTTAGTCAATGCACAATAGGATAGCAAATACCCAAACTTGCAATAAAATTATAAAAAAGATTAAATAAAGCATTGAATAACATTACAAGGTGTAAACAATAAGAGAGATTTAATGGAATGAAATGTTTTGAATAAAATGGAAACAGTGATGCACACATTAAAAAGTAACAGTGAAAAAGCAAACTCTAGCTATAATAATGGCTTTATGAAAGGGAAGAGAACAAGACATAAATTCGTCAAACTAAACCCTCATTCGCGGCTATGAAGGGCAGCATTAAAACCTTGATAACACACTCTCTGTCTATCATGTTAATAAACATCTAGTTGAGGTGGTTACATCATGTAAAGGCAGCAGTTTACCGTCATTCCCTTCCCTCTACCCTACACACATGCTATAAGTAAAGAGTCAACTCTAGCTATAATAGGTCTTCTCAACAATCACATTACTATGTACTCTATGTCCACTCTACCCTATGTATAAAGGAAATGTCGAGGAATGTTGGATAAAGGAAGGCATTAGTCAACGCCGCACGGGATACCAAATGTTGATTCAAGTAGATAGATGCATAAAAGAACAATGCTGGTGGATAAACGATAGGGACCTTACAAATGAGGGAAAAGCAGTATGCAACATGCAAATTACAAAGATGGTAAAGATGTAAAAATTAAAGTTACGCAGCAACAGATACTAACAAGGAGCATACTTTAGAAATAAATGCACAGTTAAGCAATGAAATGATATTGATAAGAGATGAAAGGGTTGCAATAAATGAGAGAGAGAAGGGTATGACAACCCAGTAACATTGTTGGCCATTTAAGTACTTGACACTGCCTTCATGCAAAAGTTTAGCTATGTCTACGACCCTATGTACACACTACTCTATGTCCCCAACGCCCAAGTCACAAAGTCGTTACCTGGTTGAGTTGCAAGTTGCCTCTGTAAGAATACTACCTGATCGCTCCACTTCTGCTTCTCGGCCTCCAGATTCTCTTCCTTACTCTCTAATTTCGCCTGCTCGCCATTCCACCTAGGCTGTGCCGTTCCACTCCTCAGGTTCTCTAGTCTATCCAACTTCCCCGACGCTTCCTTGTATGCGTTGGTCGCTACTTCCAGCTGTTGCTCGATGGTGGTCATAGCTGGCAACAACCGATCAGTGGCTTATCATTGACGTATTATTAGGAGAGTGAATTTTTGACCAATCAAATAAGCCCGTAGTAAATAGCAAAATCAAGGATGATAAAACAAATGGGTTAACTGTTCTGGCCCGTTGCGAAATTCAGCCCGATTCAAAATCGGGCTGGCCTAGTTCGAAATAAGCACATTTTATTTCGATATTATCACATAAACAATGTTA